AAAAAATACACCGACTTCAATGCTCGTATACAAATTTAGGAGTACTGTTCCTTTTTTTATTCAATGATCGGAAGTTAACTAAATTATTATGGGACCACCCTTGAGGTACCACCTTTCCGATAGAAAAATAATTATAAAATAGTTATTGTAAATTTTATCTTGTCTTCCTTGTCCACATTTGCTGCAGAACATAGAGACCACCATCCAACCATATGCTGCTCGAATCTTTATGACTTCCACACTCATTGAAGGTTTGATACCAGCGTTTTGTGGTGTCTTCATCGGAGCTTGGTCGGATCATTTTGGACGCAAACCACTTTTGGTCACAGGATACAGCGGTGAGTACTCGATGATGACCTCATAGATAAATTGTTACTTAAGCGCTTAAGCCTTTTGCAGGTTATGCTCTATATTATGCAATAGCAGCCATAATTTCGCGACTCTCAACTTCTCGCCTCGTTAGTCCATGGTATTATTTATTAGCAGTGCTGCCACTTTCCTTGGTCGGAGGTAGTGTTACATACTCAGTGGCTACCTTTTGTTATATTTCTGATGTGTCTAGTGCGCAGGAGCGACCATATCGGTGAGTTTATAGGGATTTATCACTTCTAAGGCTAAAATCCGTTCGATCTGCTGCTTTCAGCATGGCAACATATGAAGCTGCACTTTTCACAGGCCTCATGACCGGATCATTCGTAGCAGGCTTTCTTTACGAAGCCTCTAATGCGACATTTGTTTTTCTAACATCGTGCATTTGCATTTTTGTTGCCGTTTGTATAATAGTATTCTTCATTCCGGAGAGTCTACATAGACGACGCTTTGATTTCACTCATAATGTTTTCGTAAATCAAACATCAGAAATTGGAGAGGAAGATCAGCAGCCACAGGCTGTAGGTGAGTCGCACCAACAAAGGAAATTATTCAATTTCGCAGCGGTAATGGAAATGTGGGAAACTTGTTTCAAGCCACGCGAACGTAACGATCGCGCCATCATTTGGCTAGCGGCGATTGCCCATCTGATATCGGTTTTTGTGTTGGGTAAGCAATTTATTTTTTAAGCACAGAAATAGTTTATTGACTATTTAAATCCTCGAAATGTGCGTAGATGGCTCTATGACAGTTTTTTATTTGTTCGCTCGCGAGACATTTCATTGGACGATTAAGGAGTTTAACACTTTCGATACAATCAATATATTCGTGTCGCTGTTGGGCAACATCTTGGGTGTAATTATTTTAAGAAGAGTAAGTACTCAATGGGGCATAAATACTTGTATATGCATTGTTTGTGGTTTAACCCTATTCCCCTTTACAACCATTTTAGTTACTCAAGTTATCCATTGTCTATCTGGGTATTTTTGCATTCCTCAGTGAGTCAGCTGGCTCGTTGATCAGGGCATTTGCTAACACAAACTGGCTAATGTATTTATCCGTCGCAATCAGCGCCCCGAGATCGATGGCTCATCCGATGTGTCGAACTATTGCATCGAATGTTTTGCCTGCTAACGAACTGGGTAAGAATTTACAGTAAAGAGTTAAAAAGAACCGGAAATGCCGGTATGCACATAAGTGGGGGGGGGGGGGGACAAAACGAAGGATACTTGTTAATTTTTTATGATATATTTTTCATTTAATCATTTTTACGCTAACAACGATTTTCAGCAAACTTTGTTAGATATTCGTTTTCTTCTTTAAATAGATCTCCAACTTCAACATCTTTCAAATCTTCTTCGGACAAGTTCTTTTTCTTCCACAAATTGTACCCAAGAATGAGTTCACTTCCCATACCTATATCATAGATCTGTTGAAAATGCTTCCAGTTCTTTTGTACCTTTTCACTGCCACACATACAATGGGCGCAATCTAGACAGCGAAAAAGCTGGAGTATTTTCATTGGAAAAGCATAGTTGTAAAGAGACCGTTAGTTAATCCAGATACGGTATTATGATAGACCGTTGCCAGTACTCAAATTCATTGCAAGATGGGGGTTACTTCAGTTTTTTTTTGTTTACCTTCTTCCTAGATCTGCTGCAATCATACGACATTTTTTAATTAACTCCGTAGTGCCTCCTTCTGCATTCTTTCGATCATTCTTAACCACGTCCAAAATATTTTCAATATGCTGTTCAACGGCGATGAGGTCTATTGTCTTCCTTTGCAAAATGTTTGCTGTAGGTTCCAGAAACTAGCAATTGTCATCAAAGCAATGATGAACATCGGCCTTGTGATAGCAGCACACAATTGATACGCAGACTTTCTTGCGGAAAAGTTTGCCTGAATTGACAACTTTTCTAAAGCCTTCACAACTTCAGGAAAAGTTTTTGAAAATTTCCTTATATCCTTATATTTTTTCCCCCATCTTGTTTCACACAAACGTGATATATCAGGAGCATAATTCTTGTGTGTCATTGATTCGCGAAAAAAGTGTATCACATCTTTAAGGGTGGAAATAGTACTTCTTATTTCTGGAACATCGTTTTTAGTGATTCACAACAATATTTAACGGAAGAGCACATGAACCAAAAATACAAGATCACGCGGGCAGGAGAATAGCCCGTTAGAATCGCATTTGGGAAAAAAGTTTAACGATTTTTACATTAGCCGTTTGTTTATATTCGTTCTTTACAATTTGGTGGTGCCTTTTTGCTGCGATTTTCTTCATTTTCGCCTGTGACAACGTGTGTACACATAAGATAAAGAATAATTTAACACAACGGCATGATTTATAGAAGAATTTGCATAATAAAAATGATTATTCATGCGTTCAACAATTTCGCGGTTTTCTCCGTTCTCTTCGTTGTTTACTTCTTACAACAAAGATGGCGTCGAAATTTCGGCAGCTAGAAAATAACTTTTTTCTTTCTTTCCTTCCCGCGTGACCTTGTGTCTTTCGTTCATGGGAAGAGGAAGGTTTCTTTCTCGTTGGGTTTTTTCATCCTGTTTATCACAGAATTGTAGAGAAACTCAAATGGGTGTTTCATTCAATTCTGTACCAATTCAATGCTTAGCGCTGTGCTTACTTCTTTCCATCAATGATGAAAAACGCAGGCCAAAACGTACAGCTAATTTTGATCGGTCCTGCTATGCCAATACTCCTCTGTACGCCGTTTTGAACTTTGCCCCCAAGGAAGTTTAATAAAAGCTTAATTTTTCTCTGGTTATACTCTTGCTCTAGGAACTCTACCTGAGTAAGTACTGTATTTAGTCACCAGTGTCTAAAATTTTTCCTCTCATTCCCGAGCTTTGCTATTGCAAGAAATTGCTGCTTCTTTGGTTAATTATCTACTACCTAATCCCCTTCATTTCCCTGTTCCGCACACAGACTTCAAAGTATTGATGTGTTTTGATCTAATTTGCTTGGCATAGGATCCTTGTAAATTATATAAAAGTTTTCACCTTCAGATACGGGCACATTTCGAATCGTTGTTGTTGGTGGATGCGCCTTGTTGTGCAAAAGGCATCAAATATGTCAAATGCTTGAAAAAGCTGCCTATACCACAATTGCTGATATGTACATACGTATATATTTATAAAAGATATATTACTTACTGGCTATTTAAAGTTTTTCCTGGCATATTTTTGCCAGCGCTGCTCAAATAAAATTACTCATACGCCATGCTGATCAAGATACAAGTGCGACCGCACACATTGTGCGCATGTATGTATGTATGTAGTGTGTACTGCAAAATGTTCCGTGTCAATTATTGCCTCTGGTGCTTAAATGATCTGTGCCAAGGATCCTAATTGAAATATATCGTTTTGCAGTATCACCGGCGATATGTACATATGTATGTATGTATATAATACTTTCCAAAATTAAAATTAAATAGATAACTAAGCAAACTAACAAGCAGTTATAAAGGCACCTTCGTAAAAGTGACAAAACCAAATTTTTTAATGTAACTGCACATACTGAGGCGGAAATGAAGGATGCACAAAAGAGAAAAACTACGGAAAAATTGGCAGTTTTTGGAAAAATGTTTTGTTACACAAAAAAATGGATATTAATTTTTTCTGCTTGTTGTGATGTACTACTATACAGTATGCACATACTCCAAAGTATAAATATTCATATGTACATTAGGGTGCCTCACCAAAAAAAGTTAAATTATAAAACCTATTATATTTTAAGGCTGCTGTGTTGCACTGTTCAGATAAGACAACAGTTTTTTCCAATAGCGGTCCCCCCTCGGCAAGCAATTGCAAACCTCCGAGTGTATTTCTGCC